TAATGAGATTGGGAAGAGTTTGAGTTGGAGCGTGCTTCTCACGTGCCTGTTCTTTCCTTCTAAGAGCATCTCCAATCTTCTAATGTTGTTATAAATTAAATTATGACAAATATAAATAAATTTAATGTATTATGAATCCTGTAGGAATAATGTTAAGTTACAACTATGAAATTTGAAAATTATCTCCAATACTATCTACTTACTAATTATTAAAATTTTAATAAAAAGTTAGATAATTAAAATAATTAAATAGCTTGAAAATAGTAAGAGTACTTCTCTCTCTTCTTTTCATTGGCTAGCTAGGGTGTGGAGGAGAGAATGTGGATGAACCACATTCTTCTCTACATTGTAGACATTAATTATGTCCACATCACCACAACATTTATGAACACATTGTACATTGGAAGATGAAAAGTTGTGATATTACTAATATGTTGATGTGACATGTAATTTACCACAACAACATTTGAGGATTAGAGCATCTCCAATGCTCAATGTTGTAGTACCAAATTACATTCTACATCAACACATTTGTTAATATTACAATTTTTCATCCTCCAATGTCCAATGTGATCACAAATATTGTGATGATGTGGACATAATTAATGTATACAATGTAGAGAAGAATGTGGTTCATTCACATTCTCCTCCACACTCTAGTTAGCCAATGAAGAGAAGAAAGAGAATTACTATTACCATTTTTAAGCGATTTAATTATTTGATTAATTTTATTAATTCATATTAAAATTTTAATATTTGGTAAGTAAATAATATCTATTAATATATAATACGGAGAAGAAAAATTATTTGAACAATCCAAAAATAATCATTTCGTTTTCCCGCTTCAATATATGTTTTTTCCCGCTTCTTCAATTCGTAAATTTTTTTTTTTGAATTTTTTCAGCCCATGCAATTAGGTAACCAATCAAATCGAATCTTTTAGCATTCAATTTGGTAAGGTGTTCCAATTTTAGCATTCAAATCCGATTTCACTTCCTTTTTTTATGCCAATCAATCCGATTTTTTTGGTTGTTTCAAAATTTGTTTAGATTTATATTTTTATTTTATTAATATATTTGAAAGAGAATCAATAAATGTTTATCATAACTTTTATTTTAGAAATAAATTTGAATAAGCATACCTTTTACTTTATATGAAATTCAAAATTACATATTTTAATATATTAATAAACGTTTATTATTTATTTTTTCCTTATGTGATATAATAGAATTTCGGTATTAAATTTATAAATTCAAACATTTAAAAGAAAAGATTCCAAACAATTTTTTTTGGGTAAATTTCATTTTATCTTGGTTTTCATTATCACATTTCTAACAAACTAATTAGTATTATATTTTTTTATCTACATTATCTAACTGATTTTTTATGATACAATTAATATAATATCTTAACAAATTAATCATTTGTCTAACCGGATTTATCTCTCTAACAAACTTGCCAATTTTTTTTAAAATTAAAATGGTATGATTATTCTTATGGAGATACTTATCAATATATTAAATATTTAGAAACTTTTTTTAAAAAATGAGTTATCCCTCCTTTTACTTTATTTGAAATTCTGACTTATATTTTTAAATATATTATTATTATTTTTACATGTAAATATTTATTATTTATTATCTAAGTGATAAATATTATTGATTTATCTCTTTAATAAATATTTATTGTTTATTTTTTTTTCCGTACGTGATATAATGTAAATTTGGTTACTAGATTTTTAAATTCAAACATTTAGGAAAAAATCACGAACAAATTTTTTGGTTAAATTTCATTTTATTTTAACTTCCATATAATCACAATCCTAACAAACTAATTAGTATAATATTTTTTTACCCATTTTTATATAATCGGATTTCTTAAAATATAATTAATATAACATTTTAACTATTTAATCATCTATATATATATAATAAGAATTACTATTTACCATAAATAGTAACTAGAAATTTTAGGACAACATTAATTGCTTACTATTTTTGTTGTTTTTTTCTTTTTTCTTTTTAACATTAATCCTTATCATCATTTGACTTAGGCGGCCTAAAAAAGTAGAATTTAATTTAAAAAATTCAAATCAAATTGTGTCCTAAAAATTTATATTTTTGTTAAATCCCTCATAATACAATTCCATATCAATACCATTTTTGAATTTATTTTCTTTAAACATACAACAGAAACAGCATCCACGTACACAATTTATGCCTTCCTAAATTTAAGTAATTTGTTGGTCCCCAAATTAGTGAAGATTCCTTGCATGAAGGATTTATACAATTTTGAAAAAATTGGGAACTTGGTATAAACCCATTACATACGATATTGGTTTTGAAATTTGAATTTTCAAATTTCTTCCATATACATATGCAACTATTCACTTCCTAAAATTAATCAATTTGTTTAATCAAATACGATATTGTGATATTGGTTTTGGAATTTGAATTTTCAAATTTCTTCCATATACATATGCAACTATTCACTTCCTAAAATTAATTAATTTGTTGAATCAAATACGATATTGTGGTCCGCCAAAGTCGGTAGAGATATTTTTCATGAAGACTTTTTACAATTTAAAAATATTAAGACTCTTGGTATAAACATTTTGGATAGCCTTTTTTCACAAAATAAGTTTGAGATGGATTAGGAATTTCAAATCAATTCAAATTCATCTTTGATTACAAGTTAAAATTTTCCAAATTTTACTTTAAGAATAAAATTTATGGTTTCAAACTGGAGATAATGAGTTTGTAAATAGATAAATATTTTTTTATTTTCTAAAATATTTATTAAAAAATTATAATGACAATAATTTTTATGATAAAATAATAAATTAAGTATTATACCAGAATATATAAAACTATTATTTTTTATATTAAAGAATAAATATATATACTAAAATCAAATTTATATTAGTATCAAAGTTTTAGCGAGATATTATGTTAATTAATTTACATACTAGAGCTAATAATTAATTTACATACTAGAGCTAATAGGCTGAGGTTTAACGTTATGACTAAAAAATAACGATGATCAAAAGAGGTGTAAAATAGATGATCTAACTCTATTTTTTTAAACCTAATGGAAAGGCCATCTAGAAACTCAGACCCGTGCATCGTACGGGCTACGTACTAGTTTGTATAACTTGATTTAACTCATTATCAAACTTGCCAATTTTTTTTTTTGAAATTAAAAAAAAAATTGGAAAATTTTTATTTATAAAATAATAAAAAATAGCTTTACTTTAAAGTCTGGATTATTTCCATTATTTTTTGTACGTTAACAATCATATATTTTGGATTATTGATTTAAAAAAAAAAATCAAAACCGTAAGGTTTAATAATATTCCTTAAATAAAAAATATTGTATAAAGAAAAGTATTTAATAATATATATTTTTCATTGATTGTATTTATTTTATTTTCATAATAGACGAGATGTGAAAAATATAAATAATTATATTTAAAATAAAGTCTAAAAAATGTTTAAAATATGAACTCTTCCGTGCATCGCACGGGATATACACTAGTTGTAATTTGACTACATTGTGCATTGGAGATGATTTTTTAATTTAATAGTTGTGAACTCAATATTTGTTCTACATGATTCACAATCTACTTAATTTTTTTACATTTGTCAAAATTTATCCTACTACAATATTAGAGCATTGGAAATGCTCTTAGAGATGCTCTAAAGTTTCACACTGTCTTTTGTTTTCGCAGGATGATAAAAGCTTAGAAGACGAGTGTGTACAATATACTAAAGATTTGTTTTTTTGGTTGGAAAATAATACAAAATCTTGAAAACCTTCAAAATGAATAAAACATAGGAAATACTAAAAATAATAAAAATCCTAAAATAGGTTGTAAAATGTGGAATCAAATTCGTCAAATCGCTTCCGAAAACATATTATAATAGCAATTTCTAGCTACACACAAAAACTATGCCTTTTGTTAACAACTAACAAGCACATTTAGAATGATATTCAACAACTCAAAACTTGTCTTCTACACATTCCTTATCAATTTTTGTTTTTCCTAAGTTCAGTTGTTTTCTCATATAATAACAGTGATTAGCACCGTATTTTGAATTCACCAGTAAACAGCAACTGTTGTTTCTCTTCGTGTGGACAAGTACAAATCTGCAAAAAGCAAAAGGTTATTTGGGTCTAACAATCCCATTTCAAGAGATAAATACAATATAAGATCAACCTCAATAACTAACTGATGCCGACAAGAGTGCGTTGTTATTTCTCGACACATATGATCGACTTCGGCTTTGAGTGTGATTATTATTATTATATTTTACTATTATTTAGCTATGTTTATTTATTTTAAGTTTGGGTTTTATTATGTAGTAGTGGACTTGTTGTGTGGGCTTTAATTAATAGTAACTTGAACTTTCATGTATTATTTAAAAACAGTTGCCTCTCATTGTACTACTGGCAGATTTTTATCAGATTAAGAAAAATATTTCGTTTCTTGTTCTGCACAGAGAAGAAAACTTCTCTCAGCACGCTTCTGCATCAATAACCAAATGGCTTAAAAATTTATCATGCGTGCAATGCACACCATCTGTAATGCAGAAAATCTGGAGGAAAACCAAAAGTAGACCCAATGATGAAACTACTCAATCCCTCAAAACCGATAACTAAAAACCCGATAAAAATGAAGCAGCAAGCAATTCCACTCCTGCAGCCACAAATGCATCTATACCTATACCTGTACGTACACAAGCTTCTCGTTATTGTATGTGGGGCCGTTTCTCAAATTGTAGACGAATATATGTGATTTGTCCAAGATTTACTTTCTCTTGAAAGTTTCTCTTCTCGACTCATGTTTACTGCTGGAAATGAGTAGGCAACTCTTGAAATTCCCGGGCTTTGAGGTTGGAGACATTCTCAAAGGGCTGCTCCTCTCGTCCTCGATTTTTGAGCGGGATTTTGGCAACTTGTCATAAGGGAACCAACATCTTAACAGGCTGTGTAGTTTATACTTGCAATTTGGAAAGGCATCGTCATCAGACCATCCCGTATCCTCTTGGCTGTCATCCACAATCTCTACCCAGTGATCGGCATTTTTCTCGATTTTATGCTTTGGGCCACCTGAACTGCGAAAATCATGTTTAACAGCTTTAGTAAAACTTGCTAAGGACAGGAAATGAGGTAAACTAGCTAGATGTAAGGTGAATACCACTTGGAAGCAAAAAATTTCTCTTTAGCACAATGGAACATAGTTGAGGTCCTTGAGGAACAAAATAATGCCCAAAAACAGTACTCCAAAAATTTAATAAGAGAAGCAAGAATGGAACTTACAAACCAGATTCATCTTCGGAATCAGGATTCTCTCTCTGCGACTGGATCTTTACTAAATTGTAGGCAGTGGAAGCATGACGCACAAAATGCAGCTGAAGATGCAAAAACCGAAAATAAAATCGAAAAATTCTTCGTCTTCTTATTAAATGACATTTATAGTTTGACTAGGATTAGTATCTTTCTTGAGGATTAACGATGCAAAGTTTTTTAGCAAACATGATCGAGTTTTGACAACTATTCTAACCAAAATCCAGCATGACGTATTGTAAGATTTGTTTCACTGAAAAACCACTAGTGTATAAGTTCAGCTGATGAAGAAACCGATCCACTTTGCAAAATTGTGATTATTTTGTTGTCTTTAAGTTCTTAAAACCTTTTTGGCTATTTTCTTCCATGGGCAGAGATCTCTCAAGCTGAGAACTAGTGTTATCCCCACCCAGTTTCATCATACCTGCATCAGTTCGTTCATTTTTCCTTCTGAAACCACTACACTCTAAAAGGGTCGATTCCTCAGTTGGTTGTCCGATTTGAAAGTTACTTTTGGTTCAAATACACATTAAGGACAACACAAGCAACCACACGCATAATACAAAAGTTATGACTAACCTGGTCACCATCCTTGATGCCAATCAAGCTGATATAATCACTGTCAGTCACTAACTTCTGGCCTTCATGACAAAGACAAAACTGGCCCCACACATGTTCCCTGCACAGAAGTTCTTGGACTGAATAGGAAACTTTACCATGAATCAATCAAAACTACAAAACATCATCACAGAGATGAGTCATTACGAGGCTTATTTTTCACAGGGTTCGAATATAATTTTTTTACAGTTTCAGAATATTCTGTAGCCTTTGGGAATCTGCCCACTATTACCGATAAATTATACACAATCTCACCAAAAAATGGCTTAGCAGCCAAATCGATGTGAAATTTAAGAGAGAACTAGGATGTTACAGCTTAGTTCGCTCTAGCAGTTCAAATAGAAGAACCACTTCTAAACTAAGAATCATGCACACTTAAATGCTTCAACAAAATGCCAATGCCACAATGTCAACCTAAGCGTGAAACTACAGAGAAATGCGTAGAGGCAGAATACTGTTACTGATCAAGAATCAAGATTTCACAACAAGACTACTTTAGGCATTGCTACTATTCATTTAACCACACAATGTGAAACTAATTCCTATGACAATGCATGATAATCCAAGCAAAAGCATTAAAATTCCAACAGGAATACAAATCTTCAGCTGCATATGATGAACATTGAAATAAAACTTTCAATAAATAACAAGCCGAATCCTTTTCCCCTCTCCCAAGAAACTCATGAAACTTGATGCACCATTGAAAACAACAGATATGCATCAATATGTACAAAAGTTTTGCACAAGCAAAGCTCATTACCATGAAACTTTACCAGTCCCCTCATTTGGCAAATGGCGAAAAGTTGATTCGACTGCTTTCTTCAGCTCCCGAACAGTCCCCGACTTCCCCACCTCAATTTCTGGAGGGAGAGAGAGAGAGAGAGAGATTCACGTATTATTAATTTCTTCATGCCTTCCAACAATGTACATACATGCATCAACTTCCCCCTGCATTCTTAAGCATAATTTATCAATTTCGAACACTCAACTGCATATAATTTCATCGGTTACATAAATTCCAGCTACTCAACAAAGACAATCAAGTATCGGCAACATCAGTCAGGAAGACATAAATACCAAACGTACCAAAAAGAAAATAGAAAAGAAACTCGAATCAAACCAAAAGATGAGCCGTCCAATTTGAGAACACCTAGCCTCAGAGGTTGCTGGTGAAGCTTATCATAGGAGAGGCTCTTCCTCGGGACATCGTTTCTTGGGATAATGGGAAACAAACACGACAAGGACCCAGTCGAAAATCGAGGCTCATCACAATCGCCATCGTTTTCCAGAATCTGCAGCATTAGAACCCAAAAGGGGGCCGGGGAACGAAAAAAAAAATTGAGAAATCAACCCACCGAACTCTAGAACTGAAATTACACACAGGATAAACCTGAAGCCTCCATTTTATAGAGCTCTCTCTCTCTCTCTCTATATATATATATCTGTTTTTTTTGTCGGAGAAGAATGGTTTTCGCAACGTGACTGTGTATGATTCGTGATTCTCAGGCGATGAATTGGAGCTAGGTTTTGGCTTGTGCCGGGAGCAATTCTAAAGAGAGAAAGAGAAGAAGAGCTGCGAAGCAACCTTTTTGGCTGTGTTTCTTCATTTTTGGTTTTCGTCTCCATTGATTTGATTTCTCTCCCTCGACGACTGATGACAGTTAATTTGGTTTGGAGAGTAGAAACAAATTACTGATTTGGGCCGGGGTGGATAGTTTTGTTGGGCTTATACCTGGAATATCCATTAATAACGGGCCAAATTCCTGAGACGTGCCCGATCGAGGCTTGTGTTTGTGTGCAATTGTAACCCACGCAATAAGACAGGAGAATTTACACTTTTACGGTAATGAATTATTTTTATTTGCATATATACTAAATATAAAACTTAATTGCACTTATATTTAACTTAATAAAATTATTTATATACATATAATATAATAGCAACGGATGAAGTCATAAATGACTTACCATAACAGATTCCCGTAGCTGACGAGAAGCATGCCTGGAGAGAGAATCTCGATCAGTATCTACGGCCATCTTCCACGTCGATCTGTATCTACGGCCATCTCCCACATTGATTTGTCACTGACTTAAATTCTGAGAATCTCGAGTGTATATTCAAAGTATATTTTATGTATATGTGTGTCCCGATCTGTCGCACCAGATAAAAGGGAGAACAAAAACAGATTATATACAAAAGATATACTGAATATATCTTCATTATATACAGACATATAAATGCAGAAATTAAACTGATATATCATTATATACAAGATACACACAGAAGATATACTGAAATTACATTATACACATCAAACTTGTAAACTAATTAGAGATACACACAAAAAAAAAAAAAAAAAAACATTCCTTCTTCTTCCTCGAAAAACCAATGCCTCAGGCAAATTTTAATCTAGCAATTCTTATGTGCGGTGGTGTTTGAGAATGTTGACACTCGCCGACACCTCGGGACGGAGCAAGTCAGTTTCTTCTTCTTCCTCGCGCTGACCCGAATTCTCGTGCCTCTCCAAAACCTTCTTCTCGTCCTCACCGCGTCCCGTGGTCTCGATTGTGGAGGAGTAGGTCTCGCACACCTGGACATTCTGGTTGCCGGCGTTGGAATTGGGGCAGATGTGCGATCGAAGGGGGTGAGAGATGGCGGAAGGGGGTGAAGAGGATAATTTGCCAAGGGATGCGAAAATTGTGAAGGAATTGTTAAAATCGCTGATAAAGAGAGACATGTGCCGTGTTTTAATGTAAGAGAGGTGCAATTAAGGGCGATTTAAAGAGAGAAATGCCGTGTTAGAGCATCTCCAATGGTCTTTCCATTGCTGCCACATGGCAAAAAAAATCTGACGTAGCCTGGAAAATGTCTAGAAGGCTTTCTAGATGTAGAAGTCCTTCTAAACAACTGCTATTATATATTATATTAGTTATTCAATTTATCTCTCTTCTCCTACCAATTACAATTTTACACATCACAAATGACACCACAATTAACACTAACTATTGGAGACAAAAAATTTTAATTCTCTTTCTCCATGTTATACATCACAATCTCCATTGGAGATGCTCTTAAAATCGATCTGGTTCTACCCTGTGTAATTAATATTTTAATATAGGAGGAGGTGTCGTGTTTGTCTCGTACATATACAAATATTTAGGGTTGTAAAGTATATATAAAATATTTTATTATTTGATTGGTAGACAAGGTAATAAAGCCTAATTATATATATGAAAATTCATTAAATGCATGATAACCTATTTGTTTGAAACTTTGAGCGACATTTTAAAACTTTTTAAAATTCACGACATTTTAAGGTTATATAAATTAAATGAAATCATTAGAATATTTTTCTTGTTTAAGGGGACATTTTAAAACTTTTTAAAATTCACGAAATTGTAAGGTTATACAAATTAAATGAAATCCTTAGAATATTTTTCTTGTCTGAGGGGACTGGTGTGGACTTATGGATATGTATTTGGTAATGTTATATAAAAAATAAAAATATTTTTTGGATGCTAAAAGATCTAGTAAGAAACACTTGGGCCCATCTCATGCCACATCACGCCGGAAATAAAAAATCAGATCCGACTAAGCGCTACGTCAGTTTTTCCGACAAAAATGAGCACCGCAATGTCGATTTGGACTAAAATTACCAAAAAAAATGTTAGTATACCAAAAGTAAAAAATAAACAATTAAAGGACGAGAGTGCAACGAGGGTACAGTAAGTGGACGAATAGTGCAATTTTTCCAAAAAGAACTCACAAGAAGATCAGCAACTATTCTATTAATGAACCCACTTCATATTTTTCATTTCGAAAAGAGAAAAAGAACACACAAGAA